ATTTAATAGTGTTAAATTTCTTATAATTATAAAATTAATCAAATTTAATAAATCAATTTAAAAATTAACATATATAATTTATATAAATAAAATTTTTAATATAAGAATAATAATAGGGAAACGGGAAAATAAGATAAATTTATAGGATCAATGACATAACAAGCGACGTTTTTTAATATATGAATTTAAAAAAATTTTAAATTAAATTATTTTTACTAATTTATCTTTTATCTTTTTTCTATTTTTTTTATCTTTCAAAATTTCTAATCTTTCTCTCTCATCTCAACCTTTACCTACAACATCGAAACCCATAGAAATACAACTACAAGCGTAGCCAATTATCTACAATTATAATACACATAATTAGTTTTTTTCATCTATAATATAAGACTGGGAGGGGCAAGACTCTCAGTTTTTTTTTTTTTTTAGCTATGGTTTTTGTCCCTAGCTCTGGCAAATTTGTTGTGAGCGGTCGGTGTATTCATTACAAATTATTAAAGTGTCTGTTAAAACTGTTTTTCAAAGTACATACCGTGGGTACATGAATATATTATATTTTTTTATTAATTTCTATAAAAAAAAAATAATTTTAACTTTATTTTCAATACAAATAATACATGTAATTTTAAAGTTTACCCTTAAGCAGTGGCGGAGTTCCATGGGACCTGGGCAACGGGGTTAGGGGGGCCTGGAGGGACATAGGTCCCCCCTAAAATATTTAAAATTTTTTAAAGTTTAATTATATATAAAATAAAAAATGAAAGTATACATGATAAATATTTGGTAAAAAGGGTAAATTTAAAGCTAATTACCATTTATATCATAATTTATTGCATAAACTCAGATTCTTTTCTTTTACTAATTCAAAATATGATCCTATTATTTTAACACTTTTTATAACAATGAACTTTTAATTTATTTTGAAACGTTTTTTTCTGTAATTATTGATTATTATAATTATTAATTATTTTTAGCTTTAGATTTAAATTATTGATTATTTGACTTTTAATTTTTTTCAATTGTAATTATTGTTTGATTTCTAATTTATTTGGGAGAGAAACCTTAGTTTTTTAATTAATTCTTACCAATGGTGAGAAAAAATTCAAAAAATCATTGTTAATTTCAAGTTATTATGAGTTTATGCTAATTATCTTTTTGTCTTATTTTATACATATTTCTTGGTTATTTGTTAACTTTGTTGTTAACCAATGTTTTAGCCTTAAATTTAAGTTTTATGTTTATGACTATTATATTAGTCCCCTACAATGCAAATCTAGATTTCGTATACTTGATTTGTTTTATTTCAATTCACAATTTTTTTTTTTGCGTAAATTACTCTAATTCTAGAAAGGCTTTAGCCTCAATGATTTGTTTTTAATCAATTTATGAAGCATTTCTTTTTCAGTTTAGGATTTTTTTGAATTTTTTGAATTTTAGGATTTAGGTATTTTTAATTTGTGTTTATGTTTCATCATTGTGGTATTCTTATTCATTTATTATTTTTGGAGTATTTTTTATTTATGATTTATAAATCAACTTAATAATAAGATATTATAAATGTTAAACAACCCATTTAACTTAAAAGAAATTTTTTGGTAATTTATAATTATGTTTCTTTTAATGTTAAATTTTAGTCACGAGACTACCTTAAAGATATAAATAAATAAAATTTTTATTTTTCATAAAAAAATTATTTGTAATATTATATATTTATTTTTTAATAAAACATCATAAATAATTGTATATTACAATCACATCTAACATTAGAAGTTATAACTGGCTGAAAAATTAAGAGTCATTTTCGGCTTTTGAAACTGTGTATGAACACCCAACTTACTTTGTGAAAGCATCTCAAAATGACCACGGTACACAAATTGCGATGCAATGACGCAGAAGCAACACCAGCACAATGATCATGGACGACGACCAAGACTCAAGGAACCTTTTGATAGAAAAAGTCTACAAGGGGAGCCCACCGCTATCGTTAAAGTTGTCTAAGTACTGGTTACCACACACATTGCCATGCAATGACGCAGAAGAAGCACCCGGCGCGCCTTTTGATAGAGAAATCTCCAAGAGGAGCCCACTGCTTTTGGCCTTTTGTTGAACATGTCCAAGCGTGGACGACGACCAAGATTTACGGAAATTCTGGCAAAACGCGCATCTTCGCTTGAGAAGACGTTGGGTCAGCTTTTGGCCCATTTTCGGATCAATAAATGGTCCGAAAAAAGGGTCCTCTGTAAAGAATCCGCAAACTTCTCTCCTTCCCCTTTCCTTCGGTTGTTTCCTATTTCAGCTTCTCATATTCCTTCCTTTTTTCCGCCATTTTCTGCACCTGTTTCTTTCTCCATCATCTACTTGCTGTCTACAAAAGTAAAGGTGATTTTCAAACAAGTTAAATGTCAAAAATCAATCGTTTTATTTATTTTTTTTAATTTTTAATATTTTCATCATTTTTTTTTAAATCCAGCATTTTCAGATAGGATCTTGCAATTTAAGATCATTCTCACCGTCATTCATCTTCGATCTACACCCAAGTGAGTTTTTTCTTCTTATAAATTTTTCTTGAATAGTTTTGTGTTTTTAAGAAATTAATAAAATGTAATTTTGATTAAATAATATCATAAAATTGATGCTGAATGTGTAGATATATAATTTGTATAATTATAAGTATAATATAAAATTTTATGGTGTAAAAAAAATAATAAAATTTTATATTTTACTTATTTTTATATAAATAATTTATAAATTTTGACACCTGAGGTTATTCATCTCAATTGGCACTCTAAATGAGTTTTTTTCTTTTTCTTTTTTTGTTATTTTGAAATTGATTTTTTTATTTGTTAAGAAATTAATAAAATTTAATATTAAATAACCATTAACGGTCTGAAAAAATGCAAATTAGTAATCACTTTGAAGATAATGCTAATTAGCTGTTATATCATAGTTACCTAGAAACAATGAATAATCTTCTCTGCATGTTCTAGAAACAAAATGCAGAATTCTCTTCTTCTTCAAGACAACCAAACATAAATCATTCATCAGATTAAAACTTTTATTAAGACGAAGTTGATTTGTAGAAACAAAAACAAAGTAGCTTGAATCCAACATCGGAGAAAAAAAAATAAATACTTGAATTTGCTGCTAGGCAGTAGATCTCTAGGGGCTGGAATTTTCTTATCCAGCCCGCTGCAATTATTAAAGGTGTCAGACTGTCAGTGCCATTCAAAAAAAAAAAAAAGAGCCAGCGCTAATTAACGTATAAAATTAAGAAGATTGTGTATTTTCCTCAAAAAAAAAAAAAAAAAAA